ACACAGTTAAAGGTATCTGAAGAAGTGAGCAGTGACGCATGAAAGTTCATACCTTGCCACAAATGTTGTTATTCTTTAAGGTACTATTGGACTCTTGCTTTTTTCTACAACATTCTCTCCTCCATTTTATCTTCACAACAACACTGTGAGGCAGGATATTCTGAGTATGTGTGATATGTGTGGCCCCATATCTATCTTCTTTGCAGGTGCCACAGCAGCACAGAGCATTTTCCCTTGCCAGATGTAATGTCATGCCTTCTGCTATTTTTAATGGCAGATTCAATAAGATAGCCTACTCAGCCAGATACTGCCCTTGTAATCAAAAATGTGTTGAGTCAATCACTCATGTTCTTCTCTATTGTCACCCACATACAGATTTACATTATATACATTTACATTCTGTTCTAGTTAGGATGAGGGACTGTTCTGATGCATTTAAGGTTTATAGACTTTTGAATGATTTCTCCTCTAATGTCACCGAGAAGGTGGCTAAATTTCTTTACTCTGCTATAAAGGTACACCAAGGGATCTCACAGAAATAATCCTATATTTACACTGATGTATATGTATATTGTGGTTTTAACTTACATTTTAAACTGTATTTACATGTATCATTTTTTCCTATGCCAATAAAGGCTACTTAACTTAACTTGAGTGGCCCAAAGTTACCCAGCAAACTTGTATGGAAGAGTGGGGATCTGAACTGAATCTTCCAGATCCTATTACGACCATGCTGATGCAGCTGTGGTGGGCCAGACAAATTTGACCTGATTAAGCCAACCATCCAGTTTCATGCCAAACCATTGCACAACTTAACAGAGATATAGACCACATCTTGCTGAAACATATGGAATAAATTTGTCCCTGTGACAGTATGGTTGTTCATTCACAGTGGGGTAAACAGGTGCTTTTGTTTTTCTGTGTATTTATTAGAGTTAGTGCAATCCTAAGAACACTTTCCTGGACGTAAGCCCCATTGAATAGCCTTGAATGTGTTTCTGAGTAGACATGCTTAGGATTGCTTTCTTAGTGGGGTACAGTAAACATAGTATTGGTTGTGGATGTGCAAAGCCCTTTCTAGGTCACAAAGCTTACTAGGTGGAGTCAAGCAAGCCCTCATATTGTAACTGGATTTTGTTTTGTTCACACCATAAGAAAACAATTAAAACAATTCAATGAGTAATAAGCATTATGAAGCCTTGAGAACCAATATGGTGTAAAGGTTAGTGCGTTGGACTAGGATCTGGGAGACCCAGGTTCAAATCCCTTCTCTCCCATAAAGCTTTCTGAGTGTCCTCAGCTCATTCACTGTCTCTCAGCCTAAGCTACCTCACAGGGATTTGAGAGAATATAATCAAGGATGATGTATGCCACCCTAAGCTCCTTGGATGAAGGATGGGGTAAAAATACTCTAAATAAATACACAATAAAATATGTCTGACAATGGCCTTATTCAAGAAACTAACTGGCTTTGTCTTTCTTCTTACCCTTCTACCTGTGAGGTAGGGGAACACCCTTAGCTGGCTCAGTAGGCCAGATGCTATTGCTGCATAGGAAATGAAATGCAATGAACTTGCTGGTTTATCTTATATTAAAAACCAGAACATAAAACTGACACTGACCTCATATGGTGTTCTAATAAAACATACTGTAAATGTCTTTTGAATTGTCTAAGGCCAAAAACACCTATGAGGACAGGAACCTGAAAAGCCACGGCCTGGTGTTGTCACTGGTACATAAAGTAGAAACAAGGGACACTGCTGTATCTTCAGAGCTTGAGAAGATAAATCTAGTGCCCTTCTCTGACAAAGGAATGACTGGGACTGGAATATTTCAGTGCAGCTAGCTGTTACTGTAAAGCCTACAACAGGTTAATAGCCCTTGGACAATGACAAAGAACTTCATTAGTGAACGTAGATATCGCTCTACATTACAATTTAGTTCACAGCAGCGCACTTAAACAGCCACTTAGGCAATAGCCTCACTTGTTCCCGTATACAGCAAATTGTGCAACATTGTAAACTACCAGAAGCAAAAATATAAGCATAATCTAAAGCACCAGATGCTATCCAGGGAACACATGGATCCCCCAGAAAGCAGCACAAGCATCCCTGTTCTCTGCAATGTCTTGCAGCGGTTGTAACCCCAACACTGCAGTGATATGGGTTGTCTTTGCCAGAGGTAGATGAATGCCTTAGAGCAGTATTTCCCAGCTTGTGGATCAGGACCCCAAAGTGGGTCACAAAACCTCTGAAAGTGGGTCGCAGGCCAGCCCTCCCTCAAGGTGGCTCCTACCCTTTCCATCTTTTCTTTCTTTCCTCCTCTTAAATCTCCCCCTCCTTCTTTGTAATAATAATGAGGAGAAAAAAGTTGTCAAGCAACTAATAACATCACTTCAGTATCTGAAAGGAGGGGAGGCTGGAGAGCAGGTGGGAGCTGTTCAGCATGCCATGGAAAAACCAGAGGAGGATAGAAAGAGGCATGTGCATACATGGGCCGTGTCTTGGTGCTGCTCTTTCAGCAGCCCAAACTCTGCATTGCTTTACTGCCCTCTACCTGCTGTGGAAGATGTACTGCACTGAGCCCCTTGCTGCCAGCCTTTTCACTGCCATCTGCCATCTTCGTGTGTGTCCCCACCCCAGCACCCCCACCCCAGCATGCCTCCACAAACTCTGGGTCTGGCCCAGCTGGCAGAGGAGAAGGAGACTGGAGTTCATTGTAGGGGAAGCTGTACCCTTTGTGTGATCTTTTTTGGTTTCTCAAAAACATCTGGTTGGCCACTATAGAAAAAAGAATGCCAGAACAGATTGGTACCAAACTCATAGTTCCCCTGGCACACAAAAAAACTGTGGGCCAGCCCTGGGCAGGTCACTGTACGTAGTAAATTTGGATGTGAGGGTTACATCCAAAAGAGGTTGGGAACCACTGCCTTAGAAACTCTGGACTTGGATAGCAAATACATTGAATGGACTTAAAAAGCTTTGAGGTAACAGTTAATGGCATCTTCCTGCAGGAATTGAAGTGAGATTTGTTGAGATCCATTTTCTGCCATTGGGACAACGGATCATCCTTAGAGGTGGATTAACCTAAAGATTTTATTTTTAAATCTGGGTAGCCTTGAACTGAATTGATTGATCGTGGTATGGCACCCAGCTGGTCCTAGTGTACCTTTTAAAATATAATTTGTAAACTGTTGTTGTTTTAATTGCTAAAAGGCAGCATATAAAATACTAAAATAAAATGACTATGCCTCAAATTGTTTTCAGTACGAAAATTCATTATGATTTTCATCATACTTTTTATTTTAATTGAGCCTAATTAAATTATTCCTTCCTTCCTTCCTTCCTTCCTTCCTTCCTTCCTTCCTTCCTTCCTTCCTTCCTTCCTTCCTAAAAGCACAGATGTTGGCATAGAGACTTTTTTTGACTGAAGAAAAGCTTTCAGATAGAGAGTCAATCTTAGTTTCCATTAAAAGGAATACTTTTTCTCAGGTTGTCTAGATGTCTAAAGCAAGAAACCCAAGCAAGTTGGAACTGTTCTAATGATAATCACCTGCACTCCTACTGAGTTAATAGATTGGGATGAATAAATTACTTCCCAAATTATCTCAAGCATGACAGACAGTTGATGTCTTTCAAATTAGGTATTAATTATTACAATGGAACTCATGGAAAATAGCAACTGGCTCTCAGACATGTAATGAAGACTACTGCCAAACAGTGGGCTGCTGCTCCTTGTACAATGATTATCAAAGCTTATAAAATCATCTTTAGGGATGGGTTCATGGTTCGGTTCATGGTTTGTGGCTGAACATGAACTGAACCATGAAACAATACACCGGTTCGCAAACTGAACCGGTTTGTATTGGTTCATGAGCCATTTAAAGTTTAGACTCTTGCTTTTTGCTCCTCAAGGCTTTTCCCATGGAGCAGAAAGCAGCTGTTTCCAAACAGCTGAGTGGTGTGGATGGCCGCTGTTTGATTTAAATGGTTCAGAGCCATTTAAACCCTGCTTTCTGCTCCCTGGGAAAAGCTGTTTTTCGTGAAGAGCAGAAAAGCTAAAAACTGTTTTTCAGGAAGGTTCACCCCTGCTTTCTGCTCTTCATGAACTGCATAAAAATTCGTGGAGGTTTGTGACAGTTCTTCAGTTCACAAAAATCACTTCACGAACCAGCCAAAATTCATGACAAACTTTTGTTTGTCATCTGGTTCGTACCCATCCCTAATCCTCTCAATAGAATGGGGTGGGTTGATTCCCACAGGAATCTGAAGTTTTAAAAGTGCAAGCCTTTATTTGCCCCAAAGTAGAAACATTTGATAGTTGGAGCAAGTAGTGACCCAATGCAATTTTGATCACATCACGGTGGGGGGGGGGGGGGGCCCTGGAAAAGAGCCTCCTAGCCTGCCCTGTATTTCTCCCCATAAAGGATAGAACACCTGCCCAGCTAAATTGGGCAGTCAGGCAGGGTATGGCCGGATGGGCTATTCCCTCACCAGGTGAGGTGAGGCCAGGTGGGCGAGTCCCATTACTCATTGCCCTGAAGTTTGGCAGGGTGGACATGTCTTGTCCTTGCCATGGTGAGGCTGGGCATGGGTGTGGAGGGAGGATGCATCCCTTACTGGGGCAAGCCCTCCTTCCTGTTGCTTCCAGCTTATGCCCACCCCTCTCTTGGGTCTGGGGTGGCTCTGGCAGGAGGTGGTCCCCAGGTTTGGTGGCACCAGTGGGGGGTGCCCCCCAGGTCATCAGCTCACTGGGATACCTCCCAGTGGCCCTAATGGCCAACTCACTCCTGTTAATTCATTCTATAGATTTATTCTATTCCTGAATCTGATCAATCGATTGCCCAGTTATAAGACTGCTTTTTGTCTGGAAATGCAACAGATAATTCCAGGCTAGTGCCTTTCGGTCCAATTATGAAAATATCTCAGTCTTTAGTTAAAAGTTCTCATTTCCACAGATTATCACTGTGAAGGTGGTGCCATTCTGAATTAATTTTAGCATTATATATGACAATAGGCTTGGAGAGACAAAAGAAAAATGTACCTGTTTAAGTCCCGATGTATTATTGGCTGGATAAGATTGTGAAGATACTCCATGCCTTTTGCAACATCTACAGCAATGATTAATTTAGACTGCAAGTCAAGATTCCTGGAATTAAAAGAATTCATAGTATTAGTCAAATAAGAATGATGCAAACTTGGCTCTTAAACATAAACAAATTTGCAGGTGTGTCATCTATAAATCAAGTTGTGCTTCCCCCTCTTCTTTCCATATAATTTAAATTAAGAAATTTTCTCACTGGGTAATAAAAAAAGGCTTATTCTGAATTAAAATTTGATTTGTCATTAATTTGCCTCCAATTTTCTTCCTCCATTTCTGGCAAAATCTTTGACTGGGCAGGTGCGGTACGGGAATGGAGCAGAATTCATGTTGCTGCCAATGTGGACATTTCTCTTGTCCACAAACTGTATCAATCATGTCATAAAGGGAAGCTCTGATGAGCTGGGTATACTGTGGCAGATTCATTGCCACTAGAGTCTGATAAAGCTGGACAGGAGTCAGACTTGGACTTTCACATATTTATGTCTACCCAAATGTGTCTTCAGCACAGCTCCTCACATAATCCAACCCCTATGTGTATGAGTGTATCTGAAGAACAAGGAAGGTGCAACAAAGCAAAGATATCTGCATGAACAAGATTCTGACATGACACAATGTACACTACAAGGGACAGGAAAAATTAGTTGTTTGGAAGGGCAGGACAAAATACTGAGAACTGAGCAATCACACCAAGCATTCCCTTACACTTTCCAATATGCTGGCTGCTTTTTCTGCATAAAACTCTGAAATTACCACCCTTATCATCACAACAGGCACAGCTATTAAACAGTCCCACACAATATGGCTAGATGTGTCTTTTCATTCAGGCCGGTCTCAAAAATAGCCATGTTGGTCAACCTATTTTCAAACCACAGGCAGTGATTATCAGGGTTTTTTGGGGGGGAGTGGGGAGTATTTCTTTGGCTGTGTTCTCAGATATGAAGTGTTGATTTATTTTAACTATGGTTAGTTTCTAAAACCAGGATTTATCTTGCATATAATCACTTACATCCAGGTTTGACTTGACCAATGTTGGTTTCATTACCTTTGATCTGTAACTGGAGAGGGCATTGTGAGGGAACAAGACAGGATTAATCTAGGGTGCCTGTGTTCACACATCATCAGAAATCATAGCTAAGACTAAGATTCCTTTTAAACTACAGAAGAAGTGATACCACAATGCTTCAAAGAGAAATATCGGATTAGAAGTGATTTGGGAAAGGGGAAGAAATGGAGAACACTCAGGCAAATGGAGTAGACAAACCACGGTTGAAAGGTGCATAAACAACCTCTGGCAATTAAACTGTAGCAAAAGCTGGTTTTAGTTAATAACCCATCTTCATACCACAGTTTCAAACCCGGGTTTGACAGACCCTAGGACCACATTCAGACAGTCACGTTAACAACAGTTATTTTAATTAAACCATGATTTCACATGATGTCTGGACAAAGCATCTGTGTCTTGTTTTTTGTAATTTTGCTTCATCCTCCATTAAGTTCCTATCTATAGTTCTGGGAAAATGTGACTTGCATATAACAGCCAATAGTGCTGCTGATTGAAAAAGTACCTTACATATCTGACTATGCAAAGGACAATCTCTTTCTCTCATTGACTCTCTTTTACAGGTGCAACACACTTCTGAAAATCTGCATGATTTCCCCTAAGGTACTATGGAGATTTAAGCTAGTTTACCTTTTTTGTTCATGCAGCAGGGAAAAGAGGGACCCTCCTGATATGTATTGCGTGACTATAGCAAATTGACTTGGGTCATCCAGGCAAGCACCAACAAATTGGATGACACAGGGGTGATTGAGTCTGCACAGGATAGAAACTTCACGACAAAACATGTCAACGTCTGATTTGGAGCAGTAAGTGTTGGCTCGGTAGCTGGAAAGAAGCATAAGGAATATATCAAGTCACTTAAGAACTGTATTATTTTAAACCTTAAATTCTAAAGCATTGGCTGTGTTAATCTGTTGTAATAAAAACATTAAGTCTTGTGACTAAATTTTGTTGTGGCATAAGCTTTTGTGAGCCAATGCCCACTTTGTTAGTCTCATGAGTTGGCACAAATTTATACAAATGAGTAATATGTATGTGTGAATGTATATAAATAACAAAATAAGTGGGTTCTAGTTTATGAATGCTTATGCCACATTATCTTTAAGGTATCCCTAGATTCTTTGGTGTTTTAACTAATAAAATAAATATATTTAAATAAAATAAATTAAGTAACAAATCAGAAATTCTGCTAACACTCACCGCTTGATTGCCACTATTTTATTTCTACATCGTCCTTTGTACACTTTTCCAAACGACCCTAAAAGGAATTAAATAAAATAAGCACACCGTGACATGTAAAAACTTCTTTTTATAAAATGGACACATTTTCTTTTCCTTTTTACCTGAACCAATAATTTCATGGAACTCTATTTCTGAAAGCTGGAGGTGGAAATGGGATGGCAAACCAGCACGGAGGAGGAGAACATCCGCCTTTTCTGCAAAAGAAAAGTGTCTGCTTATAAAATGCAGTGAAAAAAAATATTAAAGGACCATATTTAGCAAAAATATTATACATTAACTGCCGGCTTTTCTTCTATAAATTGGTTGGTTGGCATTTTTGTTCATTTTTGTCTCTGTACCCAACAATAAACCATAATAATAAACACAGATTTGCAACATTCTAACTGCCTTGGAGCTTTTTGGCTTTAGAAGCTTATCACTAAAGAACACCGTTCCATATGCATATTCTATCTGAATCATGTAATGGCTGCAGAAAATCCTTTATACAAGGAATTAGTTCCTTCTCCTGTCTCTCTAACAGTGACTAGTGAGGCTATTTCTTCATTGCCAGTCTGATCTCCTGCTCAGTGACACTCGGAATAGGATTGGATACACAACTGAATTTGCGGACGGACTTGTTGATTCACGTGCCTCAGTGTAACAGCATTATCAAACCGTTTCTTAATGGAACATTTGGATATCATTTTAGATTACATGGTTAGAAGATGCACTCCAAGCTAAGATTTGACAAAGAGGGGTGTCAGAAGAACCACCAACTTGCAGCTGAGTTATGCCTCAAAAGGACAATTATTTTCAGTACAGAACTTTTTAAAAGGGTGCTATGTAGCTGGTTTAAATCTAATAATGGTTACCTTTTTCCCCCTGATTTCCATCCCTGACTCTTATCAACATATTTAGGTTTGGATCCAGATTAAATTTGCAATTTCTTCAGATCTCCCCTTTCTGCTGTAGACCCCCTTCATGTCATTCCTCAGAGCCCCATCTCTCCTAGGAGTAGCATTTCATGGCAATCAGTGGGAGGGGAGAGGCAGGTAAGTGCAATTCTGCCACAGGAAAATGTAGACTGAATCCAACCTTAATATCTAATAAGGAAATCACTCTAGGACCTTAGATTCTCTTCTTGCCACATGCCTCAGTTCAGCTTGCATTTTTGTAGCAAGAATGAAATTAACCTCAATGACAATAGTTAGCATTAGAAATAGGTGTAAAACATAGGTCTCAAAAGCCTATACCACAGTTTCAATTCTCACCAGTATGTATTCAACCATCTTCAGACTTGACTGAGCAGAACTTTCCTGGTCTTCCCCCCCTTTGTTACAGTCCACTGACCCCCCCCCCCCCCGTCCCGTCGTTTCCTGGCCGTTCCCAGACCTTCAGGAGCAGTATAAAAAGCAAAGTGGAGAGGTCTGGAGACGACAGGGGGATATGGCCTTCCTATCTCCCATAACTGCATGCGCTGTTCCATCAATGGAACTGTGTGATTGGTTACAGACCACTGAATTCAAAAGCAAAGGCTGCAGCCTTGGGAGTAAGCTCCATTGAACGTGGTGGGTCTTAACTTTCAAGTAAAGATGAGTAGAATTAATCTTCATATCCACAGTCCTATGCAGACTTACTTGGAGAATAAACCAATGGGATTTATGCTGTGTACAGCAAACAAAGGATTGGGCTGTGTGACAATTCACTAGCAACTCACAGCCCATAAATCCTGACAATTTTAAATAAAAGACCCAACAAGGAAAATTTTTAACATGCACAATGTTCAAGATAATAAATTCTGAGGCTGATCTCAAATTTGAATGCCAGTTGCTAATAACTTTTATTCCTTCATGCCAAATTGTCAGTCAGCTCACTTGAACCTTTGTCTGTTATAGATATTAAGCTGGTACTAGGCAAGATGGGAGGACTGCCTGTCCTGCATAAGCACCATAGCCCCTGGGGGTGCTGTGAAAAAGCAGAAATGGGCAGGAGTGGTGTCCAGGGTCTATGTTAATTCCACACCACCAGTTCTGAATACTGCCATGTATTTAGTTTTATGCTGTGGCCGCACACACTAAATAATCCATCTTCAATCCACTTTCAGTGCACTTTCCAACTGGATTTTACTGTGTGAACTGGCAAAATCCAGTTGGAAAGTGCATTGAAAGTGGATTATTTAGTGTGTGTGACCACAGCCTTAGACTGCCAGATTTATCCTGATAGGGTCTCTGTGCCTTAAAGCTGTTTTATCAACAAACATTTAGTTTCCAAGACATCACATTGTTACCAGAAAAAGAGTTGCTAACACTGGAGTGGGAGCTTCAGAATGGGCATGAATGGTGGCATTCAGGATAGCAGTGCCCAGTGGAATATCTGTTGTGCCACCAACAAAGTAGTGTCCATGCCTATTTTAAATTACTAAAGCTATACCATCTCTCCCCTTACACCACTTTGGGGATAGGAAGAAGCAGAAAGGCCCGAGATTCAACTGGATTTTGGAAGAATTTGACCTGCCTGTAATAAATATATTTCCAACTCAGAAAGCATACCTTTTGTCATGCTTTTAATCTTCCCTAGTGGGGATGGAACTGACACATAAGATCCATCTGAAATCAAAGCAAAGGAGGTTTTAAACATTCAAGACAATATGTAGTGTTCTGCAGGTTAAAAAAGCTCAACCAAACAAATTAAGTGTAATCCTAGAATGACTGTAAATGTGTATTTTGAAAAATAAACATACTGATATTGTAGATAGCATATACTGTTCTAACATTAATGTGGATTTTTTTTTGTCATTCACCTAAAGCTAATGACACTTCACAGATTCATAGCAGCTACATTTTAGACCTCTTGTGTAGCCTAGAGCAAATATGTATGCATTCAAAGTGGAAAGCAATTAATTCATATATAAGTTAGATGTTCCCAACCACATTGACTTAAAAAAACCCATTCTGTATAAACAGTCAATGTGGGGCATTGATCGATATTAGAATGGAAGATATGAGTTCAAATTCCTACTCAGCCATGAATGCTCACTGAGTTACCTTGGGCCATTAGTCTCCAGCAGTAATGCATCTACTCACTCGCAGCCTCACCTACCTCAAAGGGTTGTTGTGAAATAAAAGAGAGGAGGACATATACCATCCTGAGTTTCTTTGAGGATTGGCCAGATACATAGCATGCTATACTGGAATTAGATGCATGAAGTCTTGGTTGTAAAGATTGCAGGCAGCACAGATCTTGATGGCTGCCATGTGTACGCTTGTGTGAGTGTGTGTGTACACAAGGAGATTAGAGCGGATAAATCATGGCAAAGTTCAAGTTTCCATTCTTAGATATATGCAGAATTCAAGTTGAAAACCTCAGTGCATTTTCTAAGAAGTACATCCTCCTGAAACCAATGGGATTTATTTCTGAGTAAATATGTTTTGCAGTGTAAATTACAAAAAGTGAATGAGATTGTGTTTTAAGAGCATTTTTGAGCTATTGTTTGCACTATAATACCTAGAGATATAGGTGTTCTTGATTGTTTTGAATTGAATGAAAATTATTCAATGATTTCCCTAGCACTACCCTTTGATCTAATACTCCTATTATATTATACATTAACTTAATAAAATCAAGCTTCTGTCTATAGTAACAGAGAAATTTCTCTGTCTTATTCAAAGGTGTTTCCTGGGCAATACTCTATGCATAATTTCTTGTGAATTTAGCCTACAGTTCCAACTGACAAAATATTCTTCATCTCAGGTATCATTTATTTCAATACAACAAGCTTTAAATATGAGGGTTAGGATAGTAGTCCTAATATACAAGTAATCCAAAAACCAGCAGAGGAAGGCAATGTAAAGAGAATGGCTAAGCAATTTATCCAACATGTAGGATGGGATCGCTATTTCTTAACATGCTTATCTTTTAAGCAAGTATAGTATGACAAGATTTTATGATAATAGGCAAAATCAAAGATATAAAGGGTTGGATGGATCTAAATGAAATGATCTGCACAGTACTCCTTCTTGTGGCAGCCCTTGAACTCCTTGTTTCGGTGGGGGTCAAGGTTGCAGTAGGAGGGGATAAGGGGAAACTTGAACTTCCAAGCAAGGACATTTTAAATGGTATCCAACCCAATGTATCTCAAAGAAAAATAGCAGTACTATACATATGTATTGCCCTTGAATGAGCTCTAATATATTATCTGTCAAGTTTACTGGGGATGTGTGTGTCTATTAGATCAATTTTAGGAGTGCAAATAGAACAGCTGGATGGAACCACACCTCCTCCAGGCTGGGAGTACTCATTACAAGGTGATTCATCCTGAGGTCTTTTGTAATGCTTCAGAAGAGTAACAATAGCATCATGGCCTGAAAAACAATAATTGTAATAAGACGTGAACAACAGTAATGAGTGAATAACTGAGCATCTCATAGTTCAGTCCTAAATCTTGCTGTGCTAGCGTAGTATCAGCAAACAGCAGCTCTAAATGGGATATTTATTCAGAAGTAAGTCCTACTTTATTAAACAGGGTTTATTCTAGGTATGCATAGGGTTGCAATTTATATCACAGAATATCAGATTAAACGCTATACAATTTTTAGAAACACTAAAAAACCCCACAAACAGAGTGAGATGACAGGACAGTGGTGACACTGTGTGCAGTGATAATTATCAATATAAAAAAGCTCTCTCTAGCACTGATGTATCTATATATCTAATACCGAAAGGCGCCCCCTGCGTGCAGATACTTATTTCCGCACATCAGGGGCACCTGGGGGGGAGGGAGATGTTTGTGCACACTTGGGGCAGTCCCCAGGTGTGCACAAAAATCTGAAACCTTTTAAAAAATATCGGGGGGATACTTAAATCCCCCCGAAAGTGACAGAGCGTCCCCTGCGCATGCGCAGGGAACGCTCTGCAGCCGGCTTCGTCGCCGCCACCACCTCGGAGCCGGGCGGGGGGGGAGCGACGAGGCCTGGCGGCTACAAGCCGCGTGGGCCTCACTTT